ATGGTCACCCTCTTCGAGTGGATCGCCACTTCGTTTGTGTTCTCGAAGTTGGCGACCAGGTAAGCCTCTACAGCCTCCATCAAAGAACGCACAGCCGTCATCTGGAACCTCAGGCCCTTATTAGGGGTAATGTCCTTCTCCATCACCTCGCGGACGACGCGCAAGAAGGGCCTGAAAGGGATACAAAGGTCGGTGGACCGTTGCAGCTTCCTGATCTTTGTCAAAGCTGTCATCCCGGGGTGTCTGCGGCGTATGTGGACCCGTGCAGGCGCATCTGCATTGTTACCGGTCTGTGGCACAGGCCGGGGGTTCTTCTTTTGCTTGTCACCAGCCGTCTTCCCCTTCCGCGGCCTCGACACAACCGTTTTCACCTTCCTCGGGCTGTGGGACATCACTGTCTTGCTGGGCCCGGTCACGTCACCCTGCGATGCAGAGCACCCTGCAACTCGCTCACCGCCACATGGGCCCTCCACCTCAGTAGACAAACCGTCCTGATGTCCCGGGCGCGTCTCCTCCGTCTGTCCCGGCCTCCGATGTCCACCTCGGGTGTCCTCGGCCACCATATACCGAATGTCTCGCAGGAGGCCATCCGAGTACGTCAGCAGAAACGGCACACCAAGCGGGTCCCTGAACCTCATCATCATCTCTCCACCTTGCTCGTATGTCATGCAACATACGGCCGGGACCCAACCAACAAGGGCGGAGCAACCATGCCTGCGGCGGATGTGAGCCATGTACCTGTTCTCGCCATCGCCCTGCCCTTGCCCACCAGGACTCCCCTCAACCATGGACCACATCCCCTGGTCTGGCATGGACTCGTAACCCATGCACACCATCTGACGGTCCTCCTCCCTTATCTTCTCCCAGCACCGCTTTGCATGCTCTACTACCAGCACACGGTCCTTCACATCTGCATTGAAAATGGAGACACGTGCCACTACCACCAGGAACTGCCACTGCTCCACCATGCCTGCATGCATCCACCCCAAGGGCAGCCAATGGCCTGTCTGTAGTTTCGCTGCCATGGTCACCTTGCCATCAACTGTTGTCGGCTGCAGACATCCTGGGATCCAATTCACACGATATCCATACTTATGAGGGGCCACATGCTGCTGCAACTGCCCCTCAGGGATGACATGGGCCGCAATGTCTATGGCAGCCAGAACGTCAGGGTTCAGGTTGAATGGGTCCCATACCAGCGCGGTTATTCCATCAGCAGTAGCGTCCTTCCCTCTGGCATGCGAGTATGTGTACCCATGGTCACCCGCGAACACTTTCCCCTCTGCCACCTCGAGCTCCACAGGGTTCCGAAGAGGCGGCGAAAAACAACGAGCAGCAGGGGTGGGACAAGCCATCGCCATCTTCTCCTCTTCAGTCACCTCCCTGTTCAGGTGCCTAGATGAGAAGCTGCCGTTTATATAACACGTGGTCCATACATTCCCCATGGCATCACGCATCGGCATCTTCACACGACCACAAAGAAGCGGGGCGTCATGTGGCACCCAACCCCACCGTGGATCCCTCCTGGCATCAGTTTGTGGGCAAACCGAACTCGCTGCAGTGTCCAACCCGACAATCACCCATGACTCTCCGCAGTCAACACTATCGTACTCAAAATCATTGAGCCTCAACTCGCCCTTCGCGTCCAGAACATGCCACAGTTTCAACACATGCCGCGATTTGTCGTCAGCGCTCACCTCATCGTTCAACCTCAGCACTCTGTCGAAGATGATAAACAAATTCAAGCCCCTCCACGACGTCGCTTTGGGGGCGGGATATGGAACCCATTCCCCATTGACTTTGAACGCGAAGCACGACGCTCCTCCAACGATACCCGGTTGAAGACGACCAGGCACCCAATTGATGTCATAGGGGAAGAGAGTTCCTACTTACGTCCTGACCACATTCTCGTCTGCAACAACACACCCTGCATCATTCTCACTGGCCTCACCATCCGTCATCATGTCTACAGTCTGCTCACAAATTGCCGCAAGGACCACTGCACAGTCTGTGGTGTTTGCTCCGGCCGATATCCCTTCGTTGCTGACAACTGCGATACCCTTGACAATGTCCTGGGTCTCCATCGCGCATGTCTCCACGCCGTTGACATTCGATTGAATCGCAGGCTCCATCTATTGCATGACACATCACATACATTTATGAGAAGCCCTTGCAGCGACGTGACCCCCTCACCAGAGAGAGAGAGAGAGAGAGAGAGAGAGAGAGAGAGACTGTGACAAAGAGAGTGAGATAGAGATAGATAGAGAGATAGAGAGAGAGAGAGAGAGAGAGAGAGACTACTGCGGGCCAGAACGAGAACAACTAGCAGCGGTGTGCACTTACATAGCCCGCAGTAGTCAACCTCTCTCTCTCTCAGGCATACATACACTGCGTTAGAGGGCGGTTGCCTTCTGCGGGCCGTTGGGACAACAACCAGCATCGGTACACACTGACATGGCATGCAGTAGTCAACCTCACCCAGCTGCAAAAAAAAAAAAAAAATGTGGCACCAGTGCGAGGTTGACTACTGCGGGCCAGAACGAGAACAACCAGCAGCGGTGTACACTTACATGGCCCGCAGTAGTCAACCTCGCCCATACAGGCAGATATACACTGCGTTAGAGGGCGGTTGGCTACTGCGGGCCATCGGGACAACAACCAGTATCGGTACACACTGACATGGCACGCAATAGTCAACCTTACCCAGCTGGAAAAACAGAAAAAAATGTGGCACCAGCGACAGGTTGACTACTGCGGGCCAGAACAAGAACAACCAGCAGCGGTGTACACTTACATGGCCCGCAGTAGTCAACCTCGCCCATACAGGCAAACATACACTGCGTTCCGGATGCAGTTGGCTACTGCGGGCCATTGGGACAACAACCASCATCGGTACAGACTGACATGGCACGCAGTAGTCAACCTCACCCACCTGGGAAAACAGAAAAAAATGTGGCACCAGCGACAGGTTGACTACTGCGGGCCAGAACGAGAACAACCAGCAGCGGTGTACACTTATATGGCCCGCAGTAGCCAACCTCGCCCATACAGGCAAACATACACTGCGTTCCGGATGCAGTTGGCTACTGCGGGCCATTGGGAAAACAACCTGCATCGGTACAGACTGACATGGCACGTAGTAGTCAACCTCACCCACCTGGAAAAACAGAAAAAAATGTGGCACCAGCGACAGGTTGACTACTGCGGGCCAGAACGAGAACAACCAGCAGCGGTGTACACTTACATGGCCCGCAGTAGTCAACCTCGCCCATACAAGCAAACATACACTGCGTTCCGGATGCAGTTGGCTACTGCGGGCCATTGGGACAACAACCAGCATCGGTACAGACTGACATGGCATGCAGTAGTCAACCTCACCCACGTGGGAAAACAGAAAAAAATGTGGCACCAGCGACAGGTTGACTACTGCGGGCCAGAACGAGAACAACCAGCAACGGTGTACACTTACATGGCCCGCAGTAGTCAACCTCGCCCATACAGGAAGAGATACACTGCGTTAGAGGGCGGTTGGCTACTGCGGGCCATCGGGACAACAACCAGCATCGGTACACACTGACATGGCACGCAA